GGTCGTTTATTAGTCAGATGGCCAGGCAGTGCAATGCACTTTTGATATCTCTTTTTTGCCTGCGGCATCGCTTTGCCCAGGACATGTTAAAACTTTTAATTGAAACCCACGTGTTCCCTTATTTTTTGGATTGTCTTTCGGTATGGGGACGGGCCGCCAAAAATCAACTGTGCGAGATCCAAAAAGTTTGCCGCCAGGGTTGTGACAGGGACACGGCATCAGGACAGGACCGATCCGGCACTCCAGGCTCTAGGATGGTATAGAATACAGCAGTTAATCGAGGTGCGGGACGTCCCTAAAGCCTATAAGGCTTTAAGCTACCAGAACGGGCCACCCACATTGCGCTGCATGTTAACGGCCAGGTCCTCGATATCCCACCGCGCCACTCGCTCCACCGAAGCAGGACGGCTGTGTTAACGGCCAGGTCCTCGGAATCCCACCGCGCCACTGGCTCCACCGAAGCAGGACGGCTGTGTTTACCGCCAGGTCCTCGGAATCCCACTGCGTCACTCGCTCCGCCGAGGCAGGGCGGTTGTGTTTACCGGCAGGTCCTCGATATCCCACAGCGCCACTCGCTCCACCGAGGCAGGACGGCTGTGTATACCACCAGGTCCTCGATATCCCACAGCGCCACTGGCTCCACTGAGGCAGGACGGGTGTGTTTACCACCAGGTCCTCGATATGCCACAGCGCCACTGGCTGCACTGAGGCAGGACGGCTGTGTTTACCGCCAGGTCCTCGATATCCCACAGCGCCACTGGCTCCACTGAGGCAGGACGGCTGGAGCTACCAACATACAGGCTGGCATGCTCACAGAGGGCTTTCGGTACTGAGTGTCGCCCTCGTGGAAGAGGCTGCCGGTTATTGTAACCGAGTGCCGCTCACTGTTCACCTTCAAGTGTGTTGCGAAGGACGTGAGCAGCTGTGTGGAGATTTGATATGCTGTGATTTTGTGGCTGATGCACACGCACACTCGTGTGCCATTTATATCCTTATAAGTTTGTAGTGCTTTTAGCTGTGCTCATCGTGTTTTTACTACTTTTGGCAGCAATGGCGTACCTGTGTAGCATTTTAGTGCATAGGCATCTGGCGATGAGATCTCCTATATCGTATTGAGATCATTTCTGGACGCGAATCCGGAAGAGCCGTTTGATGAATGGGTTTTAGATCAATACATATGTCTGCAGATGCGATGGGCGCAATTTTAGTTTCGCGTTCGAGGAGAGCACTACTGACGCTAATGGTGTGGATATGTGTGTTCCGCGCGAGATGATCGCCCGTTCCTTACTGGTGCCAAGACAGAAGATGAGCCCATGGGTTCAAGCTGGGAACACTGAGATGCATCTAGACAAATGCCGATATTGGCAATCCATCATCTCTTTCCGAATAGATACTTTCTACATTGCAGGAATGCAGGAGAGTAATAGCCTTCACGGGCGTCGTGTTTTATAGTTTAAACAGCTTGTTGTCTGTTGAGAGCATCGAGTGCCCCTAGCACCTGCTTACTCCGACTCTGTGCTTCTAGTCTCTGATGAGTCATCGAGAGAGAACAACACAGCGGTATGACTGCTTTGAATTGAGTGAACGGCTCTCGGGGAGCGGCGAAGCGCTCTCAATGAACAACATTTGCTGAAAGAGTCAACCCATGTTTTTCAAGTGGCAGCGTGCACTCCAAGGAGACGGAGGAAGGGTGAGAAAGCAAGCACCATTTCATCGGCTCTTACGTTAAAAATAGGCGGTCTTGAATTCACCAGGGCTGTTGGTAAAGCGAAGACGTCACGCAATGACGCATCGTTGTAATTACGCCCGCCGTCCTTAGTTTTGACTACACCACTTCAGACCATCCCCATAAGGTGCTATTTTTTTCGTCACCGTGACCAAGTCCACATGTAGGCATCAAAAGGTCCGCTTAGTGGCCCCGGGGACGACGATTCACCAAACCTGAAAACACTGGCTGAGTGTAGGGGCATGACAAGGAGTTAAATGCTTGGGGCTAAGCCAGCCCGACTCAGTGTAAGTCAGCCTGGCTTATCAGCCGTTACCGCCCCTACCAAGGCAATCACGTTTTGAACAAGATAATGCGTAACATGACGTTTTGAACATGATAATGCGCAATGAGTCCGATCAGAAGTCCTAAGCAGTTGTTCGTAACATGTGCTACATGGGCGCCCCACGACAGGCACGTATAGAATATTACTCCAAGGTCCTGCACCTTGGCTTCGGGGCTGTTCGTTACTCCACGAAAACTGCCCTCGGTTGAGGAATTACTGCAGAGGTTCTGCCTGGATTTCGTTGAGTTTGAGTTGAGTAAGTTCGGAACCACCTGTCCAAGGAGGGCGGGGAGCATTCCAAGCAATTCACCAGGTCACCTTTATCATTTTTGCTTCGCTGGACACCAAAGATGATTTTACGTTTTGAAGTGGTGGCCATGGTCAAGAGTGATAGCAAACATTATTGAATACAAATTAAGAGTCCAAAGCCTAAGGCGTGTGAGAGACAGGGAACAGTCTGTCTAGACGCTGCGACTAAAATATACCAAAACAATCGACCAATCCAGACATCACATTCGAGGGACTTGGCGTCAAAGGAGGAACAATTTGCCTGAACTACCATCCCACCACTAGAGACCAGAAGAAACGCGCGTTTCTCTCCGTCCTTGGGATACCAGGACCTTCCTGTGTATAGTCATGCAGTGTGCTGAGCAGAAATGCAGTACAATCGGGCTTTGAGGCAGGATGCCAGGGATATCAAATGTGGTCGGCCGCTTGTGTTACACATCCTCCATGCAACTCCACATTAGCTCCCCACAAATGCAGTCTGCAAAACTACCACTGATAGAGGCGAGTTGTGCGAACAGGCGTTTGCGCCATGCGATCGAGTGGTTTGCACGGCTTCAAGGGAGCGCGGACCTGTGGTCCTAACTCAGCGTCCAGACTAGTTAGATCGGGCCTGGAGACCTCAGTTTTTCAGCTGAAAGTGGAATCATTATGGGACCGTAGATGGGTTAAAAGCAAAATGCTCGCGGCAAAACGTTGCTTATGTGATATACTATAGCAGTTGCCCGGGAGTTGAGACCGGTTTTAGGAACGGCCAAGGACGTCCGTTTACGTGGAGCGTACACACTACTAGAGGATCACATGGTAGGCAAATGGAACGCATTGGAGCATGGTACATTAAGCACCAACTTTAGGTGAATACTTGAACAAACAGCACTAGCGAACGCGGACTTCATGATATTGGGATCGCCGTACATCCGTATGCTTCATCCGTGTCATTACACAAAAACGCAACGTCGTCGTGGAGCGGGATTCCAGAGACGTGTCTCAGGTAAGGCACGGTGAAAATGCGTTTAGAAATAACTCATAAGTAGTTGCTTTAACATTATTGTCATGTAACGAGTTACTTGGTGCGACAGAGTAAACACTAAGATGGCTTGTAGCAGGTTACTTTCAGACCATACGCGAGGTACGGATCAGTTAAGCCGCATAGTCGTTTATGTTGGGGCAATCCTCACCATCGTGCTGTACATCGGGTGCAGGGATGCGACAGACCTATGAGTGTACCGATGCTTTTGAAGAAATGAATTACCAGCTTAATACTCTGTACAGACCATCGAGACCCTTCAGCTTAGCAGCCTGTGTTTTGAGCACCCCTCAGCATGGCACTGCATATCAGATGCTAAAATGTGGGGCTGGAGTGGTTCATATTTGTGTATCATTTCAATCAAAGATCTTGCACAAGTTCGAAACATTTACTGACTTTCAGATCTCCTTGTTTTTTTGTTGTTGCAATTTTTGCTTTGCGTTGTTAACTCAGTACAACAATGCTTTGAACACCAAACATATATATATATATATATATATATATATATATCTTCATATATATATATATATATATATATATATATATACATATATCGAAGAGCTCGATTCCCATGCATGTCAATGATTGCGTGAACACCGTATTCGTGAACACCTTATCCGCCTAAGCCTACGCAAGTCTCTTTTTTGTGACAACACCTTACCACTTTCGAGGAAGAGCGTGGGCACAGTGCGCAATGCATGTGTTATAACTGCGGGATGGACTTTTCTCACTACCTGTGTATTAAGCCTCCCAGTCGATGCCAGTATGCCTCCCACGTGCTTGAGGCGCAAGAACCTCACCGAGAACTATGCACTCAATGTGAGACAGCATCCCATTGACCCACCCTGCTCACGAAGCAGCCTTCTCCTGCGCGGCAAAATGCATATTCACCTTTGCCCCGCCCGTTCTGCCCCGCCTCTTTCCCTTCGTGTACCTGGCCGGACCAGCTTAAGTGAAAATCAATTACGAATTAGTCGCCGCGCTCGGGTCTAAGAGAGTTCCACCGCGACAGCGCGCGGCGCCCGTAATGCTCTTGCGCCAGGCCAACGCGGGAGGCACGCAATGCCTGAGGACGAGCGATGAGCTCGGACAGTGCGCAATCGAACGTACCGTGGCACATGACCATCACTAAATCACACGCACTGACCGCCTCAAGGGGTTACCGTTTTTGACTTTCTGAGACGCACTAACTTCCGAATCGTGTACAGCCCAGGTCGCAGGTAACTAACTAGCTGAGTAAATGTGATACTCAGGATGGGACTGCTGACAGAGGTCGTGTTGTTTTACATGAACGAATGACTTCGTTCCGCGTCATAACAGATTGGCACACAGCTTAAAATAGCATGCGTAAACTGACTGGGCGCACGATGACCAAGGCTGTTGAAGCGCCCCTTTACAACCATACCCCTTATTCTAACCAGTAACTCCTGATATAACGAAGGTCGCTTATTTCGGCGCAAGAGCCCATGGCGCCGAAAACCAGGAGCTCAAGGCTTCCATGAGTAAAAGCGGTTTCTTTTCACGCATTACTTCGGAGCCTACGTGAAATGTTTCCCCAGATGCGAACGGTTGGTGCACCTGTGCCGGCCGTTTTCGCCGCCCCGCCCTCGGCACCGGCCGGCGGGAAGGCCACTCACTCTCGGCAGCCAGCAGGGCAGTGCGGGTGCGCCTATTGACGCGGTACTGGTTCCTGGAGGCGACCAAGGCGGTGGACTGGATGGAGTCCTGCGAGCTCAACCGCAGCGGCGCGCCCAGCGCCTCGTAGCGCTGTTGCAGGCTGATCATCTTGAACCGGAGCAGCTCCATGTCACCCGCTGTGGATCAGGTCAGACAAGGCTGCTCGGTTTCGACCTTGACCTAGCGTTTATACCTGGTTCACGTCCAAGGGAATTAGCTGTAATCCTAACTTCATGTTTCTTATTGGCTCGGAAGTCATAGCAAAGGTTGCATGACGTCATCTAACACTCCGTTTTCGCATGACCTTGAAATATTCCATAGCAATTGGCTCCGCTGACAGCTGCGGCTTGATCCTGTCCTGGTGCAGGTCAACGGCCTCAAAAGGTGCATTTGATTTAACATCAGAAGGTTGGCTATTGAATCGCCTACTGCCATGCAGCGTATTGGTGTTGTTACGCCGCACCTTTCGGAAGATATTCCGATCACAACTCTTAGGGGAGGTGTCAGATTAACCGCACCCCGGCGCGGGTCAAGGCCACACCATCCTGACTATGTGGGTCAGTTGCCAGTCGTCCGTCACAGCGGATCACATGTGCATGGTTTCCGGGACGTGAACCCACACCTCCGTCGTAGTCCGCGTAGTTCGACCAATATTTACATTCGTAGAGAGCATCTCAGGCAACGCAAAGGAACTAATTACCTTGCGCACAATGTGACAGTTTTATCATTCATTTCATGCCAATTACACCGTCAAATTGATGGCAAAAGCAGCATTTGTATCTTTTTTAACATTTCAAATTTTCAGCCTTTGATCACAATGCTACCACCTAACCGGATTCTGATTAAAGGACTGCTCCACATTGATATGGAATTTTAGGTTTCTGGGCCTGATGCACGTAGATCTGTGCAGCCTTTTACACGTCACCTATAAGGATTTGATCCAAATATGTATGACGTCACAGAAACGTCACGCGGACACCCCAACTCATTGGCTGTGTTGTACTCATGACAAAGAAAAACATGACCAATGAGCCACTCGTGTTTTCGGTGATGCAGCACCACGTGTCCCAACGATAGAGCGTCATTGGCTAGCAGGCAGATTGAACTTCCGACTGCATGTTTCCAGAACGCGGTTTTTGACAAACCGCGTTTGGCCAGAAATAACGCAGGTATTTGGGCAGATGTGATACTGACATTGACTATGATGGACGTGACGTTCAAAATCAGATAGCTGAGAAATAGGGCCGTAACCGAAAATGCAAATTGTAGTAAGGAAAATGGCATAGAGGAGAAAACAACGTACAAGAACACCACGAGAAAGGATAGAAACACGTATCGCTTGTACGTTGCATTCATATGCATAGACCATCAATGCTGCATGTAAAAGAAAATCAAGTGAGTCACGTTATCCGCTACAGCGCCCACTGTGACACGGTGTGCCGACGATAACTCTAACACAAACACTGGTACAGAACAGAACGACAGAACTGCGATGCGACTTCCAGACGACATTACATTTAATACATGAGCTTGTAATGCATGAACTACATCTCGACATTAATTTTATGCGACAAAACTTCTACGCAAAAGCTTCAATGCCACCCTACATTCAATGCAAGAATAATGCAAGAACAAAACAGGAACTGTGTTAACTGCTACGCGGCACAACTGCCAACGCGAAAAATTGCACAGGACATTATTTCTACGCGACAAAACTACTAACGCAGCAGCTTCCACGCGACATCTCTTCTAATGCAAGAACGTCTGAGGCATAAACTTCTACGCGAAATCTTTAAACGGAGAACCATTACACGAAATTTCTTCAGTGCGACGCAATGTCTCAGGCAAAACCCTATGCAAAACCTTACGCATTACCCCATATGCAAAAACTTCCGACACATAAAATTTCATGCGATTAAATTCGGATAAAAGCTTCTGCGGGGCATTGCTTCTCCATGTTATAACTTCTAACACGCAAGAGTCACCTAACAACATGGTATCTTTTAGCTAACCAGACAGAGGTTTCTCTGTCACTCAGGGGTCGCACTAAGGAAATAAAGACGTGGTTAGAGCATAACAAAATCATTGAGGTGTCCTGCGTCGCTCAGATAACCTTGAAACATGGGTGTAGTTTCCTATAAAATTTGGTGCGCTCCACCCCCCCCCCCCTACCTCAACTCAGGCTACAGCCCTCAAACTCTGTGAATAAAGTGGGAGGAGGTCCGAGAGGACACCGTTTTAGGCGTATTTGGAGGCAGTTGCGTCATTTTGTATTTTCCCAGTCCTCCACAACCCTATTTTGGGAAACCACACCCCTGCCTTGAGACAAAAAGACGGCTGCTCTGTCGGTCAGGGACCCCTGATACCACACGAAACGATGTCATTGGGTACCGATTATGGCCGTGCAAGAAAGTTGGTCTATTGATCAAACTGGGACGGATCCAGACACCCACAATGCTATTCAGAGTATCGCATCGTCGCTTGGGCCTTTTTGCAATGGAAGAACCGAGTTCAGAAAAAAGCTCAGTTCCCCGTTTTGACCTACTGTTAGCGCTACTAGTCGCAACTCGCAGGACCCTGGTAGTAGTAGTGAGCGGAGAATCCATTACGGAAAAACGAGCCCGAACCTCGCAGAGGCGTTAGGGAAGCTCTGTCGATGAAGCAGCGTAAAATTCGCACTTCGGAACACACTTCCCATACCCTCGAAGGAAGCCCATTTCAGCCATTCGCGTCAGGAGATCTCACGTCAAAAGTTTTCTCGCGTAGCAGCTTATATGTTAGAAGTATTTGCATTGGAAGTGATATCGTGTAGAACTATTTGCATTAGAAGTTTTGTCGTGTACAAGCATATGCGTTAAATGTTATTATCTTATAAGTCGTGCCGTGTAGCAAGTGTTGCTGGAGAAACATTGTCGCGTGGAACTGATGTGGCGTTTAAACATTTCCTTTTCAGAGTTATGTCACGCATAAGTTTATGCGTTAAGAATTCCAGCATTAAAAGTGACGTTGCGGAGAAGTTTTTGCGTTAGAGGGTTTGTCACATGGAATCTTACGCATGATAATTTTCTGCACGAGAAGTTTTTGCACGAGAAGTTCTTGAGTTAGAAATAACGTTGCCTATCAATTTTTGGGTTATAAGCTACGTCGCAGGTAGGTATTCGCGTTGGACATGTGGTGAAAGTTTAGCTGTTAGCAGTAACTGCGTTTAAAGTTATGTCGCGAAACCCGCTGGCGCGCAGACTCTGGCAGCGACTAGGGATACATCATACAACATCATAGGGATGCTTCATGAAGCCGGGAGACGATGTCGTAATGAGGACCAAGCTTACTAACTGGTGACAATTTTATAACTAAGAGCGGTCTTTTATTAAAAGCGCACAACTAGCCACAAGTGGGCGGCTCCCACCATATTCACGATTGTCTCAATGTCCTCAAATATGAAGCAATCCCTTTAAGCATTGACGGGTTTCTCAGCAAACTAATCAGTCGGATTTTAAGGTAGCGTTTGTAACAGAAAAGCTAAAGACGGCTGCACAATAAATATTTCCACTACTCCAATGCTTCAGTCAAAATAATGATGCCAATTACCATTTTCTGAACATAAATATACGTTAATCGTTAATGCATTTGAGAGAAGCATTACGCATATAGGTAAGATAGACTGTTGGTTTTATTCTTCGTAAAATTACCAGGCGAATGAAGAAATAGATGCATTGCCACTTAGGCTGCATGCCTTTATCAAAACGGATATCGTAAGTAAGCCAATAAGTTGCCTGCCGATTATCCTGGTCATTCTACACTGCAGATACTAACAGTGCTGTTTTATCTTTAGAAAATAAGAACACGGCCGGCTGTGGTGTGGTAAGATGTCCCACACTGTACCGATTAAACAAACTAGGCGTATGCATCTATCATAAGTTTCTTCCCAATCATGCCGCTTTAAATCAGCGCACCAGCAAACACCTGTCAGAACCAATCGAGGTTCTTCACTTAACATCCGTAACTTCCTGATGGAGCCGACTACTTACGTAAGTTATAGCCTGGGAGCAACAACAAGATTAGAACTATCTAATCAAGGGAACGTTTGCTGAGCAGGAATCAATTATGCTACAAAGATTCGAAATTTTATGGCGAAGGAAGTCTGACTGGCTAAAACGCTTGACGTTGCGGTTCCGCGACAGATGCACACTAATGTTTGTCAATCCCTTGCAGTTAATGAAATCGGCGTTAATCTCCCACAGCATCACATTCTAAGACCTTTATTTTCATGGTGGAGTTGTATGAGCTAGGTGATAAAGATATGCACAATTGCATAGTTAAGTCGTTGCAATCACATCGTTTGAAGGCTAGGGCTTGAACTAGTGGCGCTGGTGAAACGAAAACTTTGTTAGGAATAAATCAGAGGAAGTGGCTAATGGTTGGTTACTGTACTGATCAAACCATTTTTTTTTATTCAGAGTCGTTCCACCAGGGATGGCAATGGTAGTAGTTTTAGCAGAAGCATGCACTGCCAAGTTCCTAAAAAGTGTCGCTACTAGCCAAAGACATTGGTGTTATTGCCTTCTGATCAGTGAAGCCGTCGAAAAAACGACGATTCAAATGTACAGCGGTGAAAAATGAAAAATCGTGTATAATTTCAATGCCACTCATCACCAGACTGTAACTGACTTCAGTCAATGCTACCCGACACCGGCAGGTTCAGAAATCAGTTTAAAGGATCGCTCACAAATCCGCCGTGATCGGAAGGACCCCAAACCGACCCACCCGCTCAGGCCACCCTGCGTCGGTCAGCAGACACCACCCCATGACCAGTCAGCCGTCCGTGCGGCCGGGTCGCGTACCGATCTCATTCTGCCCCGCCGGCCGCGACCAGCCCTGCGGCCGCGACACGAACTTGAGACTGCGCAGCTGCTGCCGGACCGAGCTGCGCGCGGAGCTGACCGTCGCGCCGGTCGCCTTCAGCCGCTGGTCGGCCGCGTCGCCCCGCGCTCGCTCGGCGCGCACCTTCTGCTCCAGCTGCTCCAGCTGGGCGTCCAGGCTGGCGGAGGGTCACGTGTCAGAGGACTGATCGCACCACCGCAGGGGATTGGGCCGCCATGCATGCACCAAGCAAATACAATCAGTGCAAGATTAAAGTGTAACGCTGAAATGGTGTAATGGCCATTGTAAGCTGAAAAGCACAACGGAAGAGCTTTTCAAGAACTTTTAACTACACAATGGGTGATAAAGTTTTCCTTTAGCTTTGTTCAGCCTGCACGGAACAAGACCTTCATGTGTAGACTTTAAATGGCATTCCATCTTCCAGAACTGCTTCTGCTTCCTAACACATTTCCAACAACACGCCAGTGCGGACATATCAACAAGAGCTTCATAAAGATGTGGCAACAAACAAGCCGAAATACGAAAAGCCAGTTGGAGCTTTCCATATGGCAGCAGGGTTTCTAACTCCTACCTTTCGTCAACTATGCGCCTGCAATCCTGAGGTGTCCGGCAACATAGGAACTTCTAGTAAGTGTTTTAATGCGACCGTTTCTTCGATGAGCAGCTTAGCTGTTAGCACACGCATTGCCTCAACAAAAATGTCAATATTTGATCAGGTAAGCTGCTTTAAACGCTAGTACATTGCGTGGTGGCTGTTCTGCCCATTACCAGTGTCTCGAGCAAACTTCTCTAACAAACGCAGGCAAACAAATTTAGAAAATTTATGTTTCGTTTTGAGTTATCTGTTGGAAGGCCGGGATCCGTGAACAACTCCAGGAAGGGGTCGGAACACGCAAAATTGGTGCATCATACGCACTAAATGCATTTTCCGAACAACACTCTTTGATATCGTTGGATTATGTAACCCGTGAACTGAATCATTTGGTTAACGTGACATAGGAAAACTACCACCAGTCATGGACACTGCACCCTAGGATCGATAACGGTGCGAAATCAAACTACACCTTTCGGTAAGTCTCGAAGCAGCGACCTTTCAATCTTCAGTGCGTGCCAGACCGCACCTGTGAACTGCCGCGTCCAGCGCCGCCGCTCTGTGATGGGCGAATGGGCCCCCTCGAGAAGCCGCTCCTTCCCGCAGCAGGCCCCTTATTCAGCCGCTGTTATTGCCCCGGGAATGGGGATCTACAAAGTTTCGGTTGCTCGATCGCATTCAATTTGGTATGTTAAACACGTCGAGTTTGCCGCGATGCTTGAAAAATGTTCTGGTAATATCGCAGAGCAAACAAGGCTTTTTCCGTGGATCGCAAGGAAACTCAAGTAACTAAGGACCGTAAGCTGCCGCTGGGCCCGGCGTGAGCTCCGGTCAACGTCGAGGTCGGCGTGACTTTGAACCAGGTCAGCCGTCTCAACACGCCGGTGGTTGGTAAAGGACCCATGGGTGAGAGCCTCGTTGTGACGTCACCACCACGCGACACCATAGCCCACTATCTAAGCCGCACCGTGAGATTGACTTAGGGTACATGAAAAAACGCTGTCTGATTCTACCTGAATATTTGTTTGAAAACATGCAACATGCTTTGTAGCGTTTAGCGTCCGAGGTTAAGTGCAATTAAGCTAAAACTTCAAAGGTAATTGGGAGAAAACGAAAGAATTGTTTGATGCCGACAGTGGTATTTCGGCCCCTCGACTTGAGGTAGTCCTAGCTCTCATCTTGCAGATTCTTGTGGACAGGAGTTTTCACTGCTGATGTGTACCGCTTAAGGTTCTTGGGGCATGTGTTGGAATACAGACGATTTGCACAATTTTTACCATTCGGAGACGACTTACGTGATTTATAGAATTCTCTCACACGAGGCAGTACCAGACTCTCAGCAAGATTGTTTCGGAGGAAATTGGATGGATGAGACGCTTGATATTTTTTGAAGCTATTCAAGCTTATCACCCACATGTCCAAGACCACTACCTCCAAGTTGAGTGTAGGGACAAATCGCATTAAGGAACAAAAGACGGCTTGGTGTAGATCGGGCGACTAGGAAAGAACTAATGCATAACGCGTTTCCCTTCATGCCACTGGTTCTGATATCTTTCAGCACCTGAAAAGTTGCTGAGATATATCAGCAGGGGTGAAAAGCTTCTCATTCATCGGATACGATCGAAAACTTAAGCCGGACACGAAAACAAATTACAACAGACTAGACCATATTACAACAGACCATCGCCGCTAGACAAATTCAAAGCGTAATAGTCGTCTGTATTCGCTAGCGCTTACAGTGTAAGCATGTATAACGCACATGTTAAGACGTGTGCGTTTCGCAGCATGAGCAAGTTGAACCACGAGATTTGCCAAGCACAGAAGTTTTAATCAGGATGATTTTTTGTCGGGGAAGAAACATACTACAAACTATACCATATCAGTGTTGACGTCGCGGATCAGCGGTGACACAGTGCTTTTCCAATGCCCCCCCCCCCCCCCCAGAGTAGTACTCTTCTCAGATTTGTCGGCCAAGATTCACGTGACACACTAAACAGGTAGAAAATACCAAATAACTAGGCTTACTGCTAGTCGTAAGAATTGCGGCCGGCCACAAAATTCTGCGCGAAAGTGATCAGTTTGCTGCGCACCGTTCAAAGGCGCCGTGCCATTTGAAACAGATGGACCCGAATGCTCCCCCGGGGTAATGAATTAGGTATGACCCGGGTAATGAATTAGTCCAGTGCAAAGCTATGAGCTATTACTGGTTGTGTTCATGCCGTGGGAAGCTGTTGGCTGGAGGAACGTAGCTAGTCGTCAGTTTTTTTAAGGTGCTTTGCAGATTTTCTAAAAATCCACCATAAAGGGTGTCCCTAGTAAAAGCGTTAAAACACGTTACCGATCTAGGAGTATCGTTACTTATGGATACCTAAGCTTTATCTTCAGAGGTAAACGGAGGACGTTGGAGTGACACGTGCCGGGGGTTTATCCGGGATTTCCTGCTGCTGAGATGAACAGCGGCTTTGGGGTAAGAGGCCAAACATCGCTGGTGTAGATCTCTTACACCGTCCACTGCACCTCCGATTTGGCGTACTAAGTCGGTGGATAGGCGTGGTGCAAAACGATTTTAATTGTTATCATATTGCACATAAAGCTAAATAAAGGTTCTATATGTGTTCAAAAATGTCGTTTGCATCTGTTGATACCAATATTGCACGGGTTTTGCTCTAGATAATTGGGATTATGCTAGCTGGTGCGAGTTTTGCACCGGTAACGATTATGCGAAGACAGTGAACGTCGCCAACGCTTCCACCTGATTGTATGATGACCTCACAACATCAAAAGTGAGGGGTGTTTTCAGGTCCTTGCAGAACCATGTTATTGGTAAATGTAGGGATGCATGGATTTCGTTCTGAAAAATACAAACCAGCAAGAGAGGGGGCAGGAAGAAGAAAACGAATGAGCCTGCCTTCGGAATGCACTTAAAACAATTTTGTCACGAGGTTTGACGCAAACTTTTTCAGAGTTGGGAGCGGGGTTGTAGTTTCTTTCGCTTCAAGGGGCTGAACCCCCGGACATTATGAGTAATGAAAACAGTGGGTTAAATGATAACTAAAAATAGAAAACTACAGCCCTGGTTAGGAGGCCCAATACCCCCCCCCCCCCCCCCACTTACCCGGGAGCTACATGCCTCTAGGTTGGTTATGTTTATTATGCCTTTATCTGATGATTTATTAATTTAGCCTCAACCAGCACTCAGTTTTTAATGGACAGGGAATGATATTTCAGTGCAAATGAAGTCCCAAAACGAAAGTGTTTCATGATCCTGCCGCATTGCATCTCATTCGCCTTTTGTGGTGCACCGCATGCAGAGGTTATCTTGCAACAGTTTCTGAAAGTTTTGGCTCCAGACAGCAATTTAGAAAGTTCCAATTTTGTCGATGGCAGGAAAGGCACTTTCACCCCGTATATCAGGATCATTCAGCAAGCAAGTGATCTGATAAGAAAGCTGCAAAAAATCAGTGTGCGGTAGTACAACGTAGTAGTTTTACAGAAACGTTCAGCTGACAGGCGAGATAGTTCCTGTAACAATGCACAACCGGTACAGTCGTGCTGGGCTCGTTAGCGGCTGCGTGATATCACTTGACCATCTCGTATCACGTCTCTGCTAAACGCTAGAATTCGTATCAGCTGAGAATACGAATTATTCAGACGATGACATCTACTGGAAAAATGTGGCTATTATAAACAAGCAAACGTATTTACAGCATTCAGCAAGCAAGCAATTTACTGCCTATTGCCCCCAAAGTATTTTTTATTAGGAATGACGCTGATAACCAGGGATAACATAAACAAGTGACGTCATAAAGAGCCACTGGTCAGGATTTCTCAGTATTTACAACATTCAGCAAGCAAGCATTTACTACCTAGTTGCCCCCAAAGTATTTTTTATTAGAATGACGCTGATAACCAGGGATAACATAAACAAGTGACGTCATAAAGAAGCCACTGGTCAGGATTTCTCAGATCTCTTGATATATTTCGCCTGGAACATGGAAGTATCATTTACATTAGAGCGTTATCACTTTACCCCGCAGCTTAAACTTTCGAGCTAATTCTTGGCTCTCAATTAACCAGACCAAGCCCCTCAATATATAAGTTCGGCCAATGTGCTATACAATCGAGGCAGACGAGTCAGCGTCATCGAAAACAAAATTAGAAGGCTGTATGACGGCTATTCCGAGAAAATCTAAGCCTTCATCCCAAGTGAGAACCAACATGGGATGTTATGAAGTCATGGGACGGAAATCAGCAATACCACCTGTAACATCCAATGGAAATAAAACAGTCGAAACTGTGTTTTTTTCCTCTCCATCTCACACATTGATCAGCTGTCCACCGTTCGAAACATCACACGCAGCTGTTTTCAGGATGGCAGGATGGTGAGTCAAAGTCAGATGGCATGGTGCTCCACTACGTTACAAATGCGTGGAGACATGGTGTAGAAATATTTGTCGTTTTAACAATGCCATCGTGGTGATTTCTAGTACGAGACACTACTTAAATGACGCAAAATCTTTAGCCACGGGATCACATTCAGCCAAATAAAAAAAACAGGAGCACATGTGAAACATATCGCACACTATTTCAAAACACCTCCAAGTTTTACGCGAATCGTCCACATTCTCAGAACCGGCCTCTACGGAGCGTGGACGCCATCTGCCGACTGCAGCCCGCGTCACAGCGCTGGTCTGAACTCACTCCACCATGGCCTCGGCACCGGTGTGGCGTACAGATGAGCACTGTCTCCTTGTCAGAGAGCAGCTGCAGCTGTTGCCGCCTCCGCGTCTCCACCCGTTCCCGCTCGCTTTGCAGGTACGTATGCCGGGCCGCCTGTCGCTCAAACCTGCCGGCGGCGCAGACGCTCGGTGGGAGCGAGCACTAAACTGCGGTCTCTCTCTCTCTCTCTCCTCTCTCTCTCCTCTCCTCTCCTCTTCCTTCTCTCTCGATCTCTCTCTCTCTCTCATCCCTCTTCTCGCCTCTTCTCTCTCTCTCTTCTCTCTCTCTCTCTCTCTCTCTCTCTCTCTCTCTCTCTCCTCTTCTCTCTTCTCTCTCTCTCTCTCTCCTCCATCTCTCTCTCTCTCTCTCTCTCTCTCTCTATCCCTTTCTTCATTTTTGTCTTTACCGGTCCCTCTTCTTCTCATAAACGTACACTCGCTGTTTCTCATCTACTTTTCATATACTGTTTCTGTTACTGTTACCATTGCTAATGACCCAGCCCTCATAAGCATTTGTCCACGTTTAATGCTTTGCTTCTCATTTGTGTTTACGCGCGGTCCCTAACTCGATGTTCTATTTTTCCTCACGTTTTCTTTCATTTACCTTATTGTTTAAGATATATGGCCATTTTCTCCCCTATTATTTTTTACAGGAGTTTCTCGTCTCTACTTCACTCACTTAGCTGTCTGTCTGCCTTTGTTGTACCAATCCATCTAACTCCCTTTTCGCCTACGCCTACTGCAGTTCACGTCTTTACTCCACCTCCCCCCTCCCACCTCACACGCGACCACCGCCCGTCTCGAGCTTGGCGGCGCGCGTCACTGACTGCTTGGTGACGCCGGCCGCGTCCTTGGCACGGGTGACATCCTGTAGCTGCTCGTAGTCCAGCTCCCAGTTGTCCACCTCCGCCATTGTCTTCCGGCGCTCCTGCATCTGTGAGAACATATTCTGGTGCTCCTTCAGGACCTTGTCCAGGTCCACCTCGGCCAGGGTTGCCTGCGGATGATCAGCCGGCCATGTTAAGATAATATACAGGCGTGCTCCAAGCCATTATGAAAATGGCCAGCTGCCACTCTGTAACGCTTCAGCAGCTGGGGATATGTCCGTCTCGATTATGTTATTGGATACACTGCCAAACAACGACCACACAAGTTATAGGCCTGTGTCCCGGTTTCAGCAATTCATTGCTGGAAGAGCGAGTCGAAAAGGAGCTGAAATAAGTTGCTCTCTGTGAAGGGGTCGTATTCTGAGTGCAAGGCACGGTTGCATAAAAAAAACATAAGATCGCACCTTTTTCCGGACTGGCAGCTCTTCTTTCCTCTGCACCTCTCTCCGGATGCTTTTGATGTCATTCTCGCGCTCCTTTTTCTCGGCAACATATGTCTGTGGAACAGGCATGATAAAAAGACTGGGCGGACGGTCTTGCCTTGTTTTGATGCCGAGTATTTTTACGATGACAGCATGAAAATGATTGGATAAGAAACTTGACCGGGACTAAATAACATTAAAGATGGCTAGTTCAGGGGACTTAAGCAAAGGCAGAGCCACATCATTACAGCAGTTAGTGCAAACAGTACTAAAGACTTGATATGCTAGCACTTTGTGCTTAATGCCATACAAGCCACGCCACCTACTTACCAGTACCAACATACTAGTAACGACCACGAACTCCACCAGTGCACGCTAGTAGGGTAGGCACCGCAGACAAGCTCCTGAAAGCCTCGCATATCCTTGCTGGTCGCTGCTTGTCACAAGTCTCGATGTGGCACGTGCGGGGTCATGACATATATAGTATTTAAGACTTGTGGTATGATTCCAGGGCAAAAAGTCAAAACATGAAAGTCATACAACCAAAAGGCAAATGGCAAGAGGTAAAATGGCAAGAACTCAAACGGCAACGAGTTCAACCGGATACAATTCCATTGCAAGAAGTCAACAAACAAAAAATGCAAAGGACTAAAAGCCAGATGGCAAGATGGCAGGAAGTCAAATGACAAAAAGTTAAACGGGATAACAGTAAAACGCAAAAAGTCGAAAGAATAAAAGTCAAAGGCAAAAAGATAAATAGGCATCAAGTTGAAAGTGGTAAATATATGAATAAATGCCACAAAAGCAGAAGTTCACTGAATAAAGATCAAAGGCAAAAATGTGAGGTGACAAAAGGTCAGAATAAATGGAAATCAAATGGAAACGAAACAGAACAGGCTATCACAATATACCTGCCCTGCCCAGAAGCCATGTATTTCATAGCGCTTACGAATGCCCTTAAGGGCCATTGATCAGTTGCTCGTCCAGAAGGGCACAGGCCGGGGGGGGGGGAGGATTAAACCTTCGCTTGCCTTCACTAGTGGAGCGCAGCCAGTTAGCAGTCTCGCGACTGCGCGGAAGGCGCAGAGGTGCCCTGGATTTAAATCGGAAGGACATGACCTGCGTCCTCTCATGGTGAGTTCGATTTGAATCGAAACCGCCTGCGGTCTAGGAAATAGTCTCAGCCAAAATATAGCCAGAATCACGCAGCTGGGCACAGGTCACACAGTGCAAAACCGTAAATAAGCATAGTAAAATCACGTTCAAGCAACCTTTAGAGGAACTTCTGGGGCTTGAGTGACAGCGGCTATGACCAGCGAGGTGATTGATCTGCATACTGCTGACGCTCAGTGTCATGCCCCTCGTTACAATCGCTTCTGTAATGTTCCCGCGCACCACTCCTCCGCCAAGCCGCCTGCCCACATCCCCCCGATCGAATGCTTTCGGCCCGACTCCAGCTAGGCGCTCAGCTCGTGGTGTGACCTGTCGCCATTAAGCAGAATACATACAGCAGCACGGCGATAATGAGGCGCTATGCCCTTAGGGGGTTGTTCCAGGTCCTGCCATTTGTCCTGCTGGCAATGCCGCCACCAAGCGCTGAGCTCATGGTTACGCTCACGATAGATCCCCTCACCATTATCCCTACACAGTTCGGTACGCTCATTAAAGTGTGCATCATGTCCGTGTGAATATGCCCGTGCATCAGGAGCGTGCGCGCCAGGAGCTGAGGGGCTATCTGGAGACAGCCAAAGAGCAATCTGACCAGAAGCATGTGAGTGGAATGCCTCTTCAAGTCTACACTGCTGATGCTCATGCTCCCGCGCGGAGAGCGAAACAAAGTCCTTCTTTAGGAGCACTGTCTCGAGGTAATGTTGCCGTACTTCTTTGTACCAGGTCACCACAATTATGCCCGCTAAACAAACTGACATGTGAGACAGATTAAACAACTTTTCCAGCGTGCCAGGGAGGAGCCACTGACGGGCACGCACGCCTGGTGACACTTGGACAGCAAGATCGCTGTGCCAGCAGGTCAGATGTTGGCTGACCTCGGTCAGCTACTGCACCACGACCTCGGTCAGCTACTGCAACCACGACCTCGGTCAGCTACTGCACCACGTCGTCTGGGCGGCAATCTGGAACCGCAGAAGGCCGTCCCAGATGCCGCCTGGAAACTCAACTGACTCGACTGGAGGAAGCTTGGAAACTCGACTGGCCCACTACACTCCTGGCCCCCGAAGAGGCTTCCCGTGAGCCCCCGCCCCCGGAGAAGAGAAGCTTGAGGTAGTGCCAACTTCGGTTGGAACATCGAAATCTCCACCATCATATTTGCTGTCTCAAAAGCAGCAGTTACTGCCGAAGCGCCCCTCAGTGTGGTGACCTGTAGCTGCATCAATGAACGCAAGACATGCTGCATTGCACGCTGCAGCTGCAACGGCCACAGTGCGGGGCTTTGGCGCACAAAATACTCCAAGTCTAAGGGAGAAATCGAGAAATCGCATGCTATAGACACTGCACCAGCATACAGGTGAACATCGCAGGAAACGAAGGGGGGGGGGGGCAAGATGTACATAGTCATGCTGACCACGAAAAGCATTTGAGGAATGAGATGGGTGCAGGCTGGAGGTGCTACAGTCAAGGGCACTTAGACTGTCGTGACACTGTACGTCAAAGGTCTTCAATTCCTCCGAAGGTCCTCGATTGACCTCTGAGTTTGATATTTGACCTTTGACTAACCGTTGAATCATACCTGATAGTCAAAAAAGAAGTCCAGAGATGGAGTCACCACCTATGATAACCCTCATAAGGGGATATCGCACCACCATCTATGTCATCCAGCTCAAAATAAGAAGATTGGTGACCATTTAAGATGGCGGCGGCCTCCATGTCGAATTCTAAGAAATGCTGAATGTCGTACAGATAGCAACCAAGCTAGTTTGACTTTCCTTACCATAAAGAACATACATCCGTGAAAAGTTTGCGGTAGTCAGCACTGCAAGGCAAACATTTTGCACCTTGACTGAAGTGCCGCGCACTACGGACTCATAACTGCCCTCACAGACCCACCAAAACCAATTGATCTAGACCTGTCTCTGGCTGGTATGCTTACAGGGACCGACCAGAGATAGCCGGGAGTTGTGGTTTTGTTTCATGAAACTCCCACCAGATGCCTTCCAGATACTGCAGGTGCGATGCAAAGTACTCAGGCGGTAGGACCTGCTCGACAGAATTTCTGGGGCTTCCGTTCCGAATTTCAAGGGACGAGGGACAATAAGGACAATAAGGGACAACGGTCAGAGGACGCTTTGCTGCGCGGCGATTGGCGCTTAACTGTTTCCCGGTCGTCAAGCTTGACAGCTGCGTCATGTCCCAGGATGTGGCCCTTCATCATGATGTCGTGACAATGTTTCGAGGTCGCGCATATCTTGTTCGATGCATTTCTGAAGCTTGTTCAGCCTGGCTTCGTAAACCACCTTTTCCTGAAAAATAAAAAGTGGTTACTGAACTGTTTGGGCCGGGGGTGGGGGGGTGGGAACGGCAGCTGTCCGCGGGCCCCACCCCGAAGTGTAAAGCTGCTCATACGAATATATACAGGTCAAAAATTGCGGTTATTTCCGAAGTTTGGTCTCTTTGTTTTAGGTCCTGGTAATAGGACGATGCGAAGTGGCATGGAACCTTGCATGGGTACGGCTCAGCACCTGCGAATTCAGGCCAGCTACGAAAAATATATTTCAACATGTTTTATGGATAGGAGACTACAGCATGAAACTACGAAATGTTCCGGTAAGATTATAAGGTTTGAAATTAAGGCAATTAAAAACCAAGCTTTTCACTGGGAACAGTCAAAACTGAAAAAGAAAGACCCAGCCAAGAAAGACGTCCAACATGGATTACTTTATTGCCCTGCCGAGCAAAGCCAAGGCGCAATTGTGTTTCATGTGGCTCGCAACGCTCATTCCTGCCATGTCTAGAGCCAGAATGCAGTTAATTTTCCAGCACAACCTATTTTAAGACTAAATCGCCGCCAGGAATCGAGTACCTCGGTTTGGGATAAACTTAAATGATAACACGCTTAAGGGAAAATACTGAAATGCTAAAAAAGGTAATCTTTCCGTCGGCCAACAGCAAACAGTCGCAGGTGCATGGCATTTAATCTAAAAGTTATATTCCGTATAACCTGTTCGCTGGAGCTACGTTGTCTCTTAGAGTTGCTGATGTGCACGAATATGTTCCTCAAACATTGAATGCTGTAAATGGCTGATGGGCTGTTTAAGTCACCTGCTCATATTAGATGAGTAAAAGTGCGACAGCACCTGTGGCCTTAAAGTATTTTGTTTAAGATTTCTCGCCGCTAACAGACCACTGGAATGTGCTGCAATGTTAGTTTTCAGAGTTATGTACGCCGCTTTCAACGAAGTCCGGCGTACTCCTCGCACTATAGTAATAGGAAAACACTGCATGTGCAATATAAGGTAGAACTTCAGCTTAGACTAAACACTTGGCCCGTAACTGAAGGTAGTCTATCGCAGGTGCTGCCGCAGCGAATATTTTTAGAGAGCCTTTTATATATATATATATATATATACTATTTATATTTTTATATTACTTATACTTATTTGTCTCTAGACTGTCATGCCTAGAATGTTTGCAAGCGACTATCAGCAAATTCTGCACGGTATTACTGATAGTATATATTACCTGCCAGCAAACAAACCAGCATCTTCTATAGTGAGCTTGTGGAAAAGCTCTGGAACGCCCCGGCCCCGAACGAAGAGCATTTCATGTATGGATCCAAAACTTCACCGATTGAGCTACCGAGACCAACTCCAAACTCTGAAAATTCACAGAGAACTGTACGTGCAAACTTTGACCCGGTACGCCTGGAGAGTCTGGCTTTTCTAATATAAAAACGGTCGATAGATTGGCGCAAGATAATGAAACATTCTTTCTCTTGGTGCCAGGTCCATCGAGCAGGCCTTTGACGCGTAAATCCTATGGACCAGTAGGCCAAGTGCGCCGATGAGCAGCTGTGCTGCAAACGTTCTTCGGTGTGAACTGGCGACGTTTAAAGGGAGTACTCCACATTTGCATGGGAATTTGAAATGAAATAGCCACCTTGAAGATCATTCCGCGCAGTTTAAAGCCATAACCTTCCTAAGACTTATACCTCTCTAATTTCTGAGCTACAAGCCTGCAAAAATGTGCAGACTATTTCATAGAGGCTATTGCTAGGTTATCCAAACATCCATGATGCCATAATTGCGTTATTCAAACCACGCTATTTCATTAGGCACGCGGTGATCAAAGCCAAGAAAAATGCAGTTTTCGAGCCGCTCATATCTGACGTTTGGGAACACGACTCCCAGGTAAAACGGCCGCAAATGAACTCAATAAATTTTGTGCAGATCACGATGACGCTAAGAAACCATGATGTCTTGAACAACATATTAACTAAACAGAGAAATTGTGTTGTTCGGAGCAGTTTTACACTTAAAATATACCTTTAGTTACAAGTGATCTTCTTTTATTATATTTCATGCTTGCTTCAAGATCTTCCCATGTGGAAATCTTTAGCACTGAAGGTTTGAAGGGTACGATTTTAACATAACAAGCTAGTGATCAAATTTCCATCACATGATTTAATGATGCACGTGACGTGTTGGATGGTGGTGTTGGGGGGAAAACTGTTGCATGGACATGAGGTGTTTTTGCGCCATAAGCATCCTGGGACCGCTAAATGGTTCTTGCCGTCGTGAACAAATATCCAGATCCTGTGACTTTTTGTCGTGTTTGGATTGGAGACCAAAATGGGCAGAAAGACAAGCTTGCGAGATATTTCTTAATCATCCGTGGATGTGGGATGTTGAGAATGGGGAGAGGGGTATGCAACATTTTAACTCGATAGACTATTTAGGATGCACAGAAATCTTTGACCATTTACCCCACGTGACAAATTTGCACCCACCCCGAGCAGTATCCCAGACCAATTCCGGGTGCAAGATGTTTAACTTTCTTGGAAAACACTTTCGGTACTGTGCTCGGCTACCTACAGCTCACAAATCCCACGGTTTCCCCATATTTCCTGACTCTGCTTTACCCTTGGGGAGAGCTGAGCTTTGCTTCAATAAGAACCACTGAAGTGTACACACTGCTTCTTAATACCATGGACAGCTAGCTATCAACAAGCAAGCTTTTCCAAATTGGTCAGGCTGAATTTCGAGTCATCTTCTTGAAATTTTCCTGTGGTCAACCTCTGCTACCTTCAGTATTTATCTCGTGTTTACATTCGCACATTTTGTGTCCATTGCTTGGGAGATCGGAGCAGGCAGTCACGGTGTGCGCCGACATACGCCGATCCGAGCCGCGTTGTGAATCGGAGCATGCAAACAGTTATGATGTGGGCCAAAACACACCAATCTCAGCAGCGTAATAGATCGGAGCATGCAAACAGCTATGATGTGGGCCAAAACACACCAATCTCAGCAGCGTAATAGATCGGAGCATGCAAACACCTATGATATGGGCCAACATATACCGATCTGAGCAGCGTGACATGTCGGGGCAGGCAAAAAAGGTTATGATATGGGCAAACATACACTGATCTCAGCAGCACAGTAGATTGGAGCATGCACACAGTTACGATATGGGCTAACATACACCGAACTCAGCACCAAACATACCCTACTTCATCACTGAGTAACGTTCCTGGCCTGTCCCTATATCCGCCCCTGGCGATTCGAAAATTTGTATTCAGATATGGGTAGATGGCTACGCGTGGTGTCAACCGCAGCATCAAGTTTTGATTTAATGAAATCTCATCATTCAGGAGCCACAGGGCATTTGACAATGCGTGTGCCTGAAAAGGCCGTCATTAGCTCCCACATGTCTTTAATAAAAGAGCCCTGGGGTCGCCTCCCAGTGATGTAGCGTGACCGAATTTTGACAAGATCTGTAAGCAAGAAAGCCTTCGCAACATTTCATCACTCCAATCTAAGTGGTTTTGCAGTGGCTTTACAATGCATCCGAGGGATCAGAAGCAGTGGGAGGAAGGGGGGGGGGGGGGCAGTAGGGCAAGTCGACTTCCACGTGAAGTGTTGACACGGCTCCGCGAGTGGCGTTTACGAATGAAGGACATCCCACTTGCGCTGTTAATGACTATTCAAAATATTTGCCCCTGCACTAACTTCACTCCAAAACTATAATGTGTACACCGTCCTTTTGCGTGTTTACCGAAAGGGAAAAGGAAGCGCATTTTAAAACGCATGCATTTCAATAATTTAATGCCTATTTAACTACGTGTTTGCCAACATTACATGGAATGACGTAGATTGAGGCACATCATTTGCAATCGCAGAAATTGCCGCATGCCATTGTAGAGCGGAAAAAACACACTGCTTTCATACCGACTGTTGAAACAGTGGCGTGCTATGCGCCGGTCAACATGTCAGTGATAAAACAATTGTAGCCAGGCGATGAAGGACGCGATCAATAAACCACCTAAGACCTACTATGGCCCTCTAGCGCCGAAGGCCGCACTGGAGTCAATGGCGCAGGCAGGGGCACAGGGGACACGTGCCCCCCCCCCCTTAGGTGCCGCTTTGAGGAGCCGAAGAGCCCGAACGGCTGGTTGGAGGTCGTATTAGGGCCCGGTCCGCAGAAAGACTATGCAGACAAATGCAGACAGAGGGCTCTTCACGACGATTGGCACCTTTGACTTGATGAGGGTTTCTATTTTAGTCAAGCAACACCAGTGCCAAACAGTCGGCTCTGTGTCTGTCTGGGCCTGAGGGTCCATTTCCCAAGCGGGGACAGGGCTGGGGCGCGCGATTTACATTAGCCGAGGCCCCTGAGTCAATAAGGGCCCTGTGTCGGCTAAGGGTCCACATAGTCTAACAAGGGTGTCCTGTGTTGGCACGGGGCTCCAAGTCGGCTAGGGACAGCGTTTGAGAGCCCCGAGGCTCGAGACCGACAATAAAGGGCTCTATCGGAAGGCTAAAATACACTAAGGACGGGTTGTAGGTCACATTAAGACATGAAGGACACGGCCGCCCAGAGGGTCGTGATCTAAAAGTTCCGTCAGAGAGCTCCTTGTACCAACTGAGATTCTCTGGGACGATGAACGTCTCTATTTCGGCCATAGAACACCACCCTGCAACATTTGGATGTGTCGGCCTGGGCACTGGGGGCCCATTTCCCAAGCAGAGACGAGGCCGGGCCCGCTATTTGCATAGTTCAGAGCCCTGCAACAATGAGGCCTCTGTGTAGGCCAAGGCCCACAATGCCGAACAGTGGGCCATGCATCGGTAAGCGGCCGGAGTTGGCGAGGGGAAAATTTGCTGAAAAGGGAGAAGAACGGGATCCAAAATGCCAGGGAGCCACTTGCGCTGGTCGGTGCCCTCTGACAATGAAAGTAGATATGAAAGTATTATGCCGCGATTCCACAACGAGACAGCGAAAGGGATCCGTATCAGGCAGAGTCTGGCAGGGCCAACAGTGCTGAAGTGCCCGTTAAACCGAACAGCATTATCTGTGTCGATCATTGGATAACCTGCCGCGATGATGGATCTTGTAGCTTCAGTGTGGACCCCTGCGTCGAAACGGGGACAAAATCCGGATCAGAGGCCCCCCCCCGCATCAGACAGGGGACCAATACATGCCTATGTGTCCGCCCCTGCCCCTGCGTCACGGGAACGGCAGCCGGTAGGCACCGCTCTCGGACGGAATGGCCGCTCAGCCCTTGGCCGGGGACGATAATATGCTCCTTAGTGTTCTATCCACGGGGTGCTTTCCTTGAAAAGGTAAGGGGTCTCATAAGTGCTCAGTAGAGTGGATTGAAATGCGCTAAAAAATGAAAAAACTTCAACCCATGTTTGCCTGAGAACGTTCATCCTTCTGGAGAAAAGACTAGTGAAACAAATTGCCTAAAAAGTTTCCGCCTGGCTCTCGCAATCTTGGGAGCACCATGCCGGAGGTTACGGTTTCCATAAAATCGGAAGGCGTTGACCGCTGCAAATAACACCAGGCGACGGGTGGCGCGCGAGCGGAAGCAGCCGTATTTAAAGATTGCTTCCGAAAGGCGCTCAAAATCTAGTCGTACCATCCACAGATTAGCCAAAGACGTGTATTTTACTTCATGATTGTGAGGCTGGCCGCTGAATACATGAACAATTAGGGGAACACGAAGAATGGCGAATCTATCTTAAATCTTCCAGTTCCATCACCAGATGCCTGGTACCACACCGCGGTGCTGTAAAAGCTTATCTGTTCGTAATAGATAAAATTGTACAGGCAAAATATACGGCAGGCTCGCATCCTAAACGTGCGAATTGATACCGAAAACTTTCAAATGATATCACTATTTTCGCCCGCCCGTTGGCCAGCCAAGTATTAACTGCGCGATTGACACCTCGCGGCTCAGGGAAACTCGACGCGGGATTTTGGGGTTCATAATTTTATTCCTAGGGTTTTGTGAGCGCGCATGATCAAGACTACCTCACATAATTTTCTGAGGAATTGAACCTGACTGGAGGTTGGTTATTCCCAGAGGAGCAGGGGTTCGCCCAGTTGATGCAAAGTTTTGACTCAACTTCGATCTACAATCCGCGTTCACGTGGTCCTCAATATATCTGCAGACCCTAGAAAAAACATGGCAAAGCCTCTGAGCTCTAACTGTTGGGAAAGAACCACTGGACCGTCGTAAAATTATAACTCCGGTGGTTTGTTTCGTGCAGTCATTTAACGTCCGCTTCCTTCAGTTTATTTATTGCAGAATGCGAACAGGATTGCATGTTCCGTAAGCTTCTGAGTTGTGTTCCAGTCAAATAAGATAAATGCTATGATGTATAAATAAGGTTTTAGATCGATCGGTAGCGCGTGACGCACGCCGTGTGCCGCCATTCGCACCCCTGCACAATTGACGTAATTAAGAGCACAGGTCACACGGAGGACGCCGCTGGTCCAATACCGGGTGGCAGCATGGCCCATTGTAGACTACGTGCTTCTGCGGCCGTAAATCGCGTGGGCCAAAGGCGCGGCCTTCAAGCGCGTGCAAATATTTGGGCTCGGGATCCTCCGATTGTGGAAAATCTGAGCTAGCCGACCAAATTTAGCTTGGTTGAGATACTGCAGCCAAGGCTATTGCAAGGTAATTCACATGTTGTTTGTGTCGAGCAATGTAGTTAGGGCTTTTCTCTGTTCCGACTACTGACAAAATTTGCATTACACCGATAATCCTTCAGAGACGCATATGGAGTTTGACGGGGCGTAATTAGGTAAAAAGACACAGGCAACAGTTTCGATGTCACATATTTGCATGCTTCTTCGTGGTTAATGCAATATTTGCTCTACTACTTAAAGCATTATCTTGCACATGCACGATACAGTCTGGTAGGGGAGAAAAGAGAACACGTAAAATGAGGCATCGGACATTCTACTCTCGTGACTTATGTCGGTACAACAGTACGCATCGTGCTCACAGAATACGATGGTTGCAACAGGTCTGAGTCCTTGATATGACACTCGCAATCACTTATTGCAAAATAGCTTCCCCTATGTGGGTCATACGTACCCGATTGAGCTTGTCAACGAAATCGTGGTACTTGTCCGTGACGTTAGTCGTAACGGCCATCTTCTGGTTGATCTTTTCCAGTTGGCACTCCAGAGTACGACAGCGCTGCTCCTCATCGGGGAACTGGTCATCCCTCATCTCGTGGTTCACCTGCATGGACGCCAAAAAACGCTGGCGCCCGGCCGCCGGACCAGGTCAGCCAGGTCAGGACCAGGTCAGCCAGGTCAGCGGACCAGGACCAGGTCAGGACTGCAGTGTTCGGTCGCCCGCAACTCGAGACCACGTGCGCGTCCTCCACCTTGGGCGACCTACTGGTGTAAACATTAGCCAACACTCCTTCTGTTTATATATTGGTACTGCTATTGTTGAAACACATCCGTGTATCTTGTACCGCCTTGGAACGCTCCAATGTCTGTAGGACATTACACACAAATGGCCTGTCGCTTGTTGAACCAGCTTGTTGGCAGACCTCAGTTACTAATCAGCTCTGTTTATGACCGTAACATTCCCCACTACGAAAACTGATTAAACTAGAGAAATCACATTGATTAGAAATAAATGTGTAGAAAAGTAGATGTGTAGCTACAAAAACTACGACAGAGATCTGGGGGTAATGAAGTGTCTCCTAATTTCTGGCAGAGGCGCAGGCGGGGGGCTTGGGGCACGCCCCCCCCCCGCACACTCCCCCCACTACACTGTCGTCGCACGACAGGGCCGCACCATCGCGCCATCGCACCATCCCAGCCAGCCTCCCCCGCCCCCCGGTGTGGGGTTACAGCCGGGGGCGTCGCGTTGACTTCCGATCGGTCAGCCGCGCCGCTCGTCAAATATTGGCGCCGCTCGCCGACGGCCGGCCGACGCGCTCGACGGCGGCCGGCCGGGTCCGATGGCGTGCCGTCGCCGGCGACGCAGGTCGATGCTTCGCGATTGGCCGGGCGGTGGCGTGCGATTAGTCGGCCGATCGGGTCCGCGCGGGGGCGGCCGCCTCACGGCGTCGCGACACGCGGCCAAGGTCGGGCGCGGTCGGCCGGAGGCCAGATCTCGGGGTCAGACGTGGTCGGCCGGGGTCAAAGCTCGGGTACGGGGGGGGGGGGGGGCAGCCAAAGGACAGGCGCGCAGCCGGCAGGCGGTTCAGGGTAAGCAGGAAGGGCGGGGAGGATCAACGTAGGCTGCCGCTCAAGCCGTCAGGCTGTTCAGGGGAAGCGGGAGGGGCGGGGAGGATCAACGTAGGGCTGCCGCCTAAGCCGGCAGGCGGTTCAGGGGAAGCGGGAAGGCGAGGAGGATCGACGTAGGCCGCCGCCCAATAGTACATTGGCGAGGGATCGATTACCTGTTGGTCCAGCAGTGTTTGCGTCCGCTGCTTGCGCTTGTTGGACAGCTCGTTCAGGACGTTCTTAAGGAACGCAATTTCTTCGTCGATGTTTTCAGAGATATCCTTAAACAGATAATAAAAACAACCGCGGTTAATGCTACAGCCCCTTCAGAGAACGTTGACAAAGCCATGGCGAAGCTGTTACAAGCAGCTGCACCGCGCGCAGCGCCACCGAAGGGGCCGGGTGAAGGTGACACAAATAATTTCGTAATTTAACACGCGCCCGGGCGGCCGGCTAGATACCCTTCGCTCGGGTGGGGGTCAATTTGACCCACTGAGATCTCGGGAACTAAGAAAGCTAGAGACACCAAATTTATAGGGTGTGTTAACCTGTAAACGAACTCACTTAAGTCAAAGTTTGAGCTTCCTAGGTCATGATCTTCAGATCAAGCAAGGTCAAATAAGGTCAAATTCTAGGTTGGTCACCAAAGTGACCCCAGAACCTAGGAAACTGTTTCTAAGCAAAAGGTTAAAAGCCCATTTGAGGTCAGTGACGCTTTTGACCTTTTGAAGGTCATGGTGACCAAAATCATACAAGACCGCTCTGAGTTTTGAATTTGAATAAGCGCCAAAGATTACGCTAGACAGTATGTTCATAAAACAAAATGTCGACCTGGGTCATCTTAGGTCAATGACCATTTCTGACCTCTAAGAAGTCAGTGGAAGATTATAATGCGGTTCCTGCTGTCAATAAATTGGAAAGAGCATCAGAACTATCCCATGCAGCAAGCCCTAGAGTAATGAATCAGGTTGGTTGTGACCTTGTTCTGACCTTTATACTTCACCTAAGGTCAACGTCATTTGCTCATTCCATACTTGTGTTGCCTAAGAAAGCATCTCAGAGATCTATGGCTTCGTCAAACACTCCGTTATTGTAGCAGATTGGGCAATTCCCTAGAAATTGCCTTCGGTGAAACCATGGCCTGACTTTGACCTGCCATAGGTCAGCGATCTTACAAGAAACATATAAATTTGTTATGTAAAACCATCCGCTATTCAATTATCTACAGCTATGCAAAATTTGGCGCGGCTACGCCTTGCCGTTCGGAAACCATGCTGGAAAAACCTTCGAGAGTCAATTTGACCCCCACCCGAGCGCGTGTTAAAGTACGACTGGAATGTTGATGGATTACGCCCAAGACGTTCAAAGCATATGAATCGGAACAGTCGACCATCGGAGTGGTCAACCGGCTCAAAATCCTCGAGTGGCTCCAGAAAGTGCAGCAGCTATCAGCTTGTGAAGTTATGCCATCAGAATGTCAGCATGGCCGCAGTACCTTGCCAGCGCTTCCAGGGCCCCTTGCAAAGCTTCGAGCTCCCCCCTCGGTGCTGCGGACGATTGAGTCGGCCTAGGGTCTCGGGACAGTCTCAAGGTGCAAGAAACACAGGGACACTCTTGGTGTCAAAGTTTCCGATGTTGTCAAACGACCCAATCGTGACCAAGGAGCCCAAAACGACACAGGAGACACAAGGCTAAGGTACAAGGCAGAACACTAATGTGCAACACAAAGAAGCACGCAGGCTGCATCAGACCACCGAGAGGCCAGTACCCCTAAATCCGTTTAAGGTCCAGCACTTGAGTGTGTTAAAGGTAGTGCACCACATAGCTATATGGGATATTGAACTGACATAGCCATCTTGAAGACCATTCGGTGCAGTGTACAGCCCTGCCTTCGTAAGACCTAAACTGCCCTAGTTTCTGAGCCATACGCCCGCGAAAATGGGGGAAGGAGCATTTCGGGGAGAGCATTCCAAAGTCACCTTCGCATCCATGATGCCATAATAAGGTCATTCAAACCCTGTCAGCTCATTGCCATGCGGTGATCAAGGCCGATGAAAACATAATGGTCGAGCCGTTCTTATTTGACGTTCGTGAGCACAATTTCCAGATTTAAAGGCCGTCAATTGACTGCCACTGAATGTTGTGTAAGGTGCGATGACGTAATAAAACAATGACGCAACAAGGGCATGTTTATTAACAGAGAAATGGTGCTGTCTAGAGCAGTATTTTTCACTCAAAAGTGTACCAATAGTTCAAAGTGAGCTTGTTTCAGCATAGCAAATGCATGCCTCACCATCTTCAAATATGAAACATTTCCTTTAAACGGTCAAGTCTGCTGGAATGTACGACACCCAAGATAGTCTTGGGACCAGCATAGCCGGAGACCGGGGATATCTGATGTTTCTGGTGCATGGCAAACGCAGAAAATATTATGAAAATATATGTAGTATGCCAATCCGATTAGAAATATGGGGACAAGTCACCATATAGGATCTCAAGGCAAATGGACCGCATGGTCGCCGGGAATCTTGCAACAGAGCAAACACGAGAACAGCTGTTTGTTCATCATGTCAAGTGTCGTAATGATAGAGGTGATCGCAGATCTGACCAGCGATTGTTCGCAAACATCCGCCTGCCCTTGTCCACAAACAGAGCGTGTCTACCTGGGCGTCCTTGCCGCGGTACTTGTGCACTTTGGCCGGGTCGTAGGTGCAGCGGCGGATGAGGATCTCTTCGGCCTCTTCTGATGATTTGGCGAGAAGCTGCACCAGTTGCTTTCTCTCCTCCATGTTGTTCTCTCCGAGGGACACGGTCTCTTTTCTGTACGTTGAGATGGCGTCCTTGATGGCACCTCGAATGGCTTTCTCCTCCTTGCCTTCGGACATAAAGAGCTCGCATCATTACATCCATCAGAAGAGCATCGCATCACTTAGCGTTGAACGGATGCTAGGCATTTTTGGGCGTCCTTGAACCCATTTGAGCGATTGAATTCTGCATTCCAGTGGCCTTACTAAATTGTACCACATGCAAGCACGGAGAAAACACTTGCATGGATAATGAAGAATAGAGGACAAATGCATGAGAGAACATTTGCTAGGTCCCATAGACGCGCCACACTGGAGGACAACAAGAACAAATATTAGGTTACAAACACGCCCATGTCGCCTCATAGTCCTTGTGTTACCCAATTGCGCACATTGACTGCGACAAAATATGGTGTAACCAACCTAAAACTGAGTTTGGTATACTTAAAGAAATATGCCTGTGTCTTCCAAGCCAAGAACCCGAGACGAACTCAAAGCAAACACGGATCAACTGAGAATCAGGGGTTACCTTATCTTGCAGTGCTATTGGGTTATTTAATCCCTGTCATGAGCATTACCGGGGGCCACCCGGTCGTTTTGTCTCTTATTGTGCAGCAACATGCAAGTACTCCAATGAGCATCATTACCCACACTAAGTTGGATTACACGGTTCGTTAGCATGCTATGCAATGGAAATTAGTATGGCGCAGAAGGTAAATACACATGCCTTTGCTTGTTTCACAGAACCGTCCGCAAACTCATTCCTAGCGTTCAGTTTACATTGCAGGACAGCTTTGATGTGACCATTTGATGTGCATTCACGTTAGTTAGTATGGGTAGTTACAATTAGTGTTTCTTCAATTAGCGAATCGTACCACCGATGATGTTGAGCGTGCCTGTCTTCCACCTTCGCCATCCAATAATACTGCCGCAAATCACAGACAATTTGCTCGCAAAGCAGGGTTTCAGATGCTTTTTGTACTCACAATGCATAGAGTACGGAGTATTTTGTCACATTGCATGCCTGCTATAATATTTCCGGACTGTATCTGAAAATCTGAACTGTGCGCTGACCCCACAACTTCCCCGCACGCTGCGAGCAAATGCTATCCCGGGTGTCAAATGCTGCTAGCATGAGCGTTATCTTGCGTATTAACACTGCCTGCTATTACAAACACAGTGATCCAGCCAGCTTCGAAGCTATCACGTTGGCTGATAACGACAGATCATGCACAGGTCGTCTCGCATTTCAGGCAGCTCTAAAGAGAGCTCATATCAAAGACGGGTGCCGCGACTTATGCCTTGGCTCGGCAGGCGCTAAGGCTAGCGGAAGGGCCGCAGACATTGGGAGATAGATCGTCTGGAAGAACCGTGGGTAGTTATCCCGCCTGGAGACCGGGTAGCTTGCGGTGCTCCTGCAAACCTTCGTTCAAATAGCTGGTGGGACTTTGAGATCTGAATGTGAGATCTAGCTGTGCTTTACGGTTCTGGAGCTAATGCGACTTTCGGGAGACGCTTCCGCCCTGCCCGATGCAGTTTCATTATCAATGCCAGCGTTCAGCTGAGCACCGACAGGTGGGCCGCCGCTGCCATTGCTCGAGGTCGCGAGCGTCATCTCCTCGAAGATTGTGATGACACACCGTCAGGAACATTATCAGGAACATTATTGGAGATGTCTGGAGAGGACAGGTATTAAGCCCATGTTTTCTGTCGGCCATTACAGCATACTTATGGGGCCACTGGGAGCAGTTAGCACTTATTAAGTAATGCAGAACATTTTTGAAGCATACGTATGCACGTTAATGTAAGATGCTTTTGGCGTTTGGATTAGCAGTCGTAAAACGGCAAAAACTTGTTTTCAAAATGCGACTCTTCGTTTATTGTGTGATGTGTGCCATCATGGTTGTGTGCTAATGGTGCTGTACACAGACTTTCCTGGTGTCAATTCATAAGCTCCTTTACAGTAAACAGCTATCGTTGCTCGATGTCCCGAATAGGCTGATCTTTATGAAGTCTTGTTGCGAGTTATTCCCAACATGTGAGAATAAACTTAATACTCAGTGCTGAAATAACTAGACTAAAACCATCCCAGCTCACCTTGGAGGTCGCATTTTCCTCTTGCCAGTAGTACTTCAGGCTTTAGAGTCCAAATTCGTTCATCGGCAGGAAGAACAAACTTGGGACGAGCTGTCTCCATCGTATTGCTTTTGTTGTTTCGAATCATGAATGCGCAAAGTAAGAGATTTGGCTACGATCAAATTCAGCGGTGTTATTACCTACGTAGTTTCCCGCATAAACCAGATATTTTGAGCCGCAAATTGAGAGGAAATTGTTCAATTTTTCTGCCTTAAGCCCACCCACCCACTCCCCTTGCTATACAAAGGGAACTGCAATCCCAACTACATACCCTAACCCGTGCCCTAACCCTAACTGCCACTAGAAAGACGCTGTTGGAATTTTTGCCCCGTTGTAATATTCTTTTAACTTTTTTGGTCAAAACACGTGAATATCCCTTGTGCAATCTTCCCGATAAGCAGCTTTTGGTCGAAGTGTCACGTCACTGCGCTAATGATAAATCCGGTTAATTGACTCACTCACTCACTCCATCAGCAAGGTGCTTCTTTTATAAGAGTTTACTTACGACATCCACCACTTCAAGTGCATTTCAGCATTCAACACCCGCACTTCTAACCGGCGTTATGTGCATATCTTCTGCAAACAACCCTTCGTGTCCGGTTTTCGAAGCCTAGAAAGATCAATCGCCAGAAAGCAGTTCCAGAACAAGTCTGCGAGAACAGTTCCAGAGCGTGCCGGAACGAGGCGGCATAACCGGCTAACCAAACCCAACGTAAGCTAACGTTCTTATTCGACGAGTGGTTGAGCAATATGAAGACTCTCCGCAACTTCCGATATTTTTGCTGAAGCGTGAACCATCAGAACGGAGACCGTTTCGTACAAAACGCCGGAGGGATAATACTAACTTTTGTTTATCATTGTTGTTGATATGTTGATGTATGATATATGATGTGTAATGATATAAAATGTTGATAACTATTTGAGATATGTTACTTCCAAATAAATGTAATAAGAAACATTAACCTATAACAAAAACCTAGACCACGTAGACGAAAAACGTAGCTGCTGCTGCTGCTGCTGCCCCCATTCTCACTCCGTCTTCGTCACAATACGAAGACAGAATGGGAGTGGGGGCAGCAGCCCGGACGGGTGGCCAACCGCTCCCCATCGATTTCCCTGTAGCACTGGCGCGGCGCGCCCTTCGACAGGGACAGGTCACCACCAGGGCACATCTGGACGCCAGCCCGGCGTCGTCCGGGCCGTGTCGGCGTTAGAGAAGGAAACACAGCGGAGCGAGCAAGAGCGGCAAAGATACAGGGTTCCGGCGGGCGAGACAGAAACAGACAGCGGAGGATGGCTTTGACGCTAGTTGGGCAGGCTCAGTATCGAAAGTAATAATGTAATGCGAATGATATTTTTGGAGGCACGGAATAAAGTGAAGGATCTATCCTAAACGACTGGCAAAACACTACAGACGTGTGGTTGAATTGAGTTGTTGAAAACGTAAGCATGCACCATCGGGCTCTACTTCGCCCGTAACAAAGGCCGACATTGGTATTGGCTTGCGCCATTGATCGGCTCCATTTCCTTTCATCTTGTGTCTGGCATAACATCGCTGGGCTTTATACGCAGGTCGCAACAACTTTGATGAAAGAATAAAAAAGCATACTCATTCAAGCGTCGAAATCATATTTGTGCCTTGCATCAATGGATGCCATGACTTTGAAGAAAAATCAAGCGATTGGCTGAACTCGATTTCCTCTAGCTAGATCGGCAAGGTAATGCTTTGATGTGTCACTTAAAACAGACGGCTTGAAATGCTTAGCTCTGATTCGAACTTGCATTTCAACTCCCACGCCTCCACGTCCAACCGCACAAGTACTGCGATCCAGGTAAGCTATTTCGGAATTCAGCTGTCATAACGCTGACTGAAACTTGGCTACGCACGGGTCCTCCCATAAAATGCCGAAATGGTCTAGACACGGCGTGCAAGCAAGAGCCCACAGCCCGTCCATTCAACCTTGGATCTGCGTAATGACGCTGGCGGCGCACTAGGCTGCCGCTGGCAGCCACCCGGGCAATGCCGGCACTCCACAGCCGGACGCATCTGCATCTCATCTGCATCTCGGTGCACCTCTCGGCATCTGCACCTCGGGTGCGTCTCACAGCTGCAGCCACGGCCAGCCGCGTCTGACGTCTGGTACCACTCCGCGCTGGCAGGACCGGCTGTCAGTGAGGGGTCGGAGGTCACGAATGGCGGTCACCGGCCGCGGCGAGCCCGGCGGCGGCTGCGGCCTGCCCATCCCGGCTGGAAGGTCACCCCATGAGAGGTCACGCCGCGCCGCCCAGAGGTCGTGGCCACCCGCGGATGACTGATGTTGTCTCCGGGTACAGTGGGACAGATCTGAACCGCTCAGCTTCACTCGAACGCCCGAGTCACTATTTTCTAATCGATGTCTGGGCTTACGTAAGTGTGCTCCAGAGTTCGCCACCGGAAGGCGAAAAGCAATCCCTCGGCGCGGCACGAAGCCTGACCTGTCACTCAGTGTATCGGGTATCCAGGGCCTCCCCGAGGTCTGGGCCGTGCGGGCCAGTGGACTGGACCCGTGTTTTGATGATCAGGTTTACGCTGGGTCCTCTTTCTGTTCGGCATGCGCCTGCAGCAGACCGCAAAAGCTTGACTGTACTCCGGAAGGAATTTTTGCAGCTGTCCTCGTTACTTTTTATCCCGATCGATTTGTAAAAATGGTGTTAGAAAGGGTTCAGTAAAATGTGATAAACATGATTGAGTATGAGGTGTTTTAACACCCTCGTGCCACATGAACGTGAGACGTTGTAAGCACCTTATGAGAAGTGGCAGAACCAGCCGGCAGAAACAATGCTGACAATCAGGCAAAACCGGGTTTGGGTGGCCACATTACGTCCAAGAAAGCTTTACGCACCGTTTCCTAGCAAAACAACAGGGTGACGAACTGGATAAAAAGGCTACCCAACACGATAGTAGGTTCTATACGGTTCTTGCTTAACTAAAGCTAAATGCACATTCCCCAAATTTTGATTACAAGGCTAGCACTTCTGCCGGAGCCTGGAACCTGCTGGAAGGCCATAACCACGGTCACGATCAGAGGCATGAGGTGATCTCGCATTCAATCACTGCGCCGCTTCGCGCATTCATTTAACTCTACTTTCATTTCGACTTGGACTTGTGGCTTCTAATGCACATGTTATTTGTTAGACGCCCCCACGTCGCATTTAACCATTCCGCCGCACTCTGTATTCCATCGCACTCTAGCTCCATTTCAAATTAAGCTTGCGGTTTTCCAGCGTATCTTTTATTCATCATCATGCATGAAGCAATCACAGTTTACACAAAGTCGCTCACAACTGAGGAATGATTCACAACTGTTTCGAGCTCCATCACAAAAGGCTATCGTTATAAATTCAAGCTCTGTCGCATCCCATGTTCGAATCAACTATTTTAGTTGATGGAGTACACCTTTGTTTAAATGGCACTGTTTCGATTGAACAGTGCTCACTAAGCACTAAAACGCACTCTTTCAACTGTGCCTATTCAACGCACCATCACGATCACAAATAATTACGAAGCGGCAAAGGATATGAGCGTCGCGCCGCGGCTTACCTGCAAGAAGCTCGTTGTCCCGCGTCACCGGGACCAGCAGAACAATTCTACAATCGACTACGGCGAAACGTCCCTCTATGGTGCTCGTAAGTAGCATACGTTTAGAGAGCGCATTTAAAAAAATTACATCGCAAGATGCTCACTTTTAGCATATACTTATTACATAATCAAGAAATCATCCATGCCCCCCACCTTATCAAATAAGAATACAAAGGGAAATACCCGCCCCCGTCCGAGCCATTGAGATCAGACCTGCTGTATGCCCGACACCAAGAAAGATCATGACCTCATCATCTAGGTGAGAGGACGACAGACAGCCAAACCAATCCTTTTGAGAAATACATTTCTTTAGGCCCGCCGACACCATTATTACATTGCAAGCCCAGGCAGCTCGCCGTGAAGACGCCAGCTCTGCGGCTTATGACGCACAGGTGAAGAGCAGCACAAAGAGATCAATACCGCCCACATACCAGTGTCAGGCAGTCTGCATGAGCTTGCTGTGTGCAACGAAGGGCCGCCCGCCACAGCTCACGTCGTGTTTCGTAGACGGCATGCCGTCCCCGCGGCTGCAGAGTGCGACCGCCCATAGCCGGTACCAAGGTACACGGCCGTGTCGGGATCCTGCCGAATAACGGAACAGCCAAATCAGGCAAATCAGCTAAACTCCATGTATCTCAGTGCTCATCAGCAGAGTCATAAACTGCCATTGGTGCAATAACAATAACAACAGCACAAGGAGGCATCACGCGAGGGTCTATCAGATATACCGCAGCATGGTTTGTGTCCAGCCAATATATGGGCAGCCTCGCGCAGATAACGGATGGCTATTCTGCGGACAGCTATTGACGCCTGGCATTCACGGATGGCTTTAACGGATGGCCATGCATGCGCCATTAAAATTTGTGCATTCAGACATATATATATATATATATATATATATATACATATATATATATATATATATATATCTCTCTCTCTCTCTCTCTCTCTCTCTCTCTCTCCTCCCTCTCTCTCTCTCTCTCTCTCTCTCTCCCTCTCTCTCCCTCCTCTCTCTCTCTCTCTCTCTCTCTCTCTCTCTCTATATATATTATATATATATATATATATAAATATATGTATATGTAAATATATTTATGCATATATAACACATTGATAATCATTCAGCTATACTGATTTTGATAATCCATAGACCAACAATAACATGTAATTCAAAACAGTTCACATCCACCCTGGATGAAGTTACTCAGAATGCTCAGGGCAGCTCCTGAAATGCAACGTATCTCAGGAACGAACCTGGACGTTGTCGTGATTAGTCCGGAATGCTCTGGATCATGTCGTTAAATTTTTGCGAATTGTCCTATCTTTTTCACGCATTGTGTCAGCATTTTGATTCGTCGGCATGCGGGATGGTAGGGTCAGTTCCAGGGCCTGGCATTGAGAGTTACCACTAATGAACTTTGTCGATTACGTTAAGATGGCGACCTCTACGGAATTATTCACGCTGCCTTGCGTTCGCAGGGGAAACGGAACTCCCGGCGAAAAAGATAGGCAAGACATGGTTATGGTGATCACAATGTAGCAAGAGTAGCGTGGCACAGGCGGTCCCAACACTCGAAAATGG